ATCCTAAAGGAGAAAAATTACATTGCCTTTGCATTAGCATGTCTGCAGCAGGTGTAATTTAACATCATCAACTCAGTTCAAACAGAGTGGGAATTTGGCTGCCTTCACCGTGTGGGCTGTTTAGTTATTTTAATTGTCTTCTGTTGAAGTCCTAAATAGTAATTACTTATCTGACTAGAGCTATAGGGAATGGGTTGAGGGCAAACAGGAAAAAGATGTAATTACGTTGGTTTAGATTCACACCACCGGTCACACCAAAAGATAGCCTTGTGTAAACAAGGCTGGTGTTTGTCCCTACAGCTGGGTTCAGCTCTGTCCATTGCTGACATCCATTGTCAGCAACAGATCATTTCTGTAGTATAGCCAAGGCTTTAAAACAAAGGCAGTAATCAGGCTTGTTGCATAGCTCGGTGACAGAGGTGGCATTATACTGATGAACAAAGCAAAGTGATTTTTTAGCCCTGTGTAGCAAGAGGAGGCAAGAATATTGGTTGATACAAGTGTTTTTCTGTATTTTTATTGCCAGCTGCTGAAGATTTACAGTGAACCCATACCATGCTTTCATCAGCCTTGAAATACTGGGGGGGTGGGGAAAGCCTGACAAAAAATCGGATCACCTTGAGAAAAACTTTTTTTTTTTTTAAGGTACTGCTGGCTTTTGTGAATCGCTGTTTAGACTTGTAAGTACTGTACTTGTAAGCACAATTAACATGTTCTAAATAAGTGTTTTCATGTTTGGGAGACATCTGGTTCTTTGCCACATGTGCACATCTTGGGTGGTGAGTAACAGAAGGCGTACTGCCCCATGGAGGGAGAGAGCTCTCCGGCAGCAGTATTTGGGGTGGTATTCCCAGAATAAAGCTGCGTTTTATTGCTGCCAGGGGGGAAATTAAATGCATGATGACAGCTTTTTGGTGTTTCCAGGGCTGTTTGTAGTACACATGCTATAGTTGTATATCACTTCTTCAAAACTGCACTTCAGTGTGCCATACTCATATGGATACTGGAGAGGGGGAAAGGCAAAAAAACAAAACAAAAACACACACCAAAAAAAAAAAAAAAACCCCACCCAAAAAAAAGAACTTAAACCACTGTAGGCCAGGGCAGCTTAACTGGGGTTGCAACATGAACTGGAGAAAGACTCTTCCGTGGGATGTTGTGGTTTGATGTGCAAAGTTGTGTTTGGCTTTACCCTGTTACTAATCCTCTAGTGCTGCAATGGGAGATACTGCAGTACAAAGATTGGCCATAAAGGGATTAAAAGTCATATTCAGGGAATGGAGAAAGCCACGTGTTTCATCTTATGTCTTTGTATTTCTGATGGTTAACAATCCCAACTGAAAAGTGCTTCAAAAAGTACAAGATCTTCCTAAATGTTTGAGCTGTGCTGTTGTCCAAGCGTTGCGTGTCTCGCTTCTCTGGCCGAGAGGGGCATTGACTCTACAGTGTATACCATCGCTGCCGTAACTGAAACGGTGTCACACACTCTCTTACCCCAGCTGCTTCCCCGTGTTATTAGTACTAGAATGCAACAGGGGTTTCACGTGCGAACAATTGTTAAGGATTCATGCAGGACAGGAGGAGAAGACATTCTAGGGGGGTTACTCTGGGCTTCTTCTGCCTGGGGAGTCATGAACTGGGCTGCTTGTGGGTTTTGGTTTTATATACATAAAGCATATGGAACAGTTATACTTGCAAAAGAAAACACCAAGTAAGCCATAACGAGCACTTGGTGCGGGTTCCACTTCCATCTAGAAAGCCTTTCTCTCTAGCATCGGTACCACACTGACTCTTCCGTGGTTTTACTGGAGCGCAGGTCTGTTGAGCCCAGCCCAGATAACTTGTTGGGGCATTTATTTGCGGTGGAATATTTCGCGTTTGGTGTGGGGTTGTTTTTCTGTTGTTGTTTGTTTGGAGGATTTTGATTTTTATTTTTTGTTCTAGTGGAAACCTTCCTTTCTGCTGATAATGTTCCCTTCCCCTGGATGCTTTTTATTCTTTGGCTGTAAGGGATATTCTAGTCAGCGTTTTCTTCCCCTTTCGCAGCATCTCTCTGCAGTGGTTCCCCACAGTGAGTCAAGGCAACCCAATGCTTTATTAAAACCACTGGAAAAATGCTTTGCTCTTAATAAACAATAGCAACCACACACGTGCCCAGCCTTACTGCCTTTAAGTCAATGGAAGATGATTGCAAAATTGAAATATCCCTTTATTGTTCATCGTGGGAACAATATTTCAGAATTTTAATACACAACTTTAAAACAACTGATGAAAGTATCTGGTCAACCAAAGGCAGTATTGTTAAGATGTTGTTCTCCTTTGTCACTCCTCTTTGTTTTCATCTTGTTGCTCTCTTCTATAGGAACTTGTTACCGAACAGTATTGAGCAGTGAAAAGTCTTTATCCCTGCATGTGAAAATGACTGCTTATATAAGTATTCCTTGTAACAATTCAGAAATAAATTTTTAGAATACTGTTTTGCTAACAAAAGAAGACTTCAATAAAATTACAGCTGATTCCAGAACTAACACATTTTTAAAAATGGTTTCAACTTTTACAGTTATCTCTGTGGTAGAGGCATCATGTCAATTGCATGAAAATCATAATTAAATTCTTCATATAACAAAGTGATTCCTTAAAAAATAATTTAAAAAACCCCACAAGCAAACAAAAAATAACCATAACATACAGATTGTAAAAACAAAATTACTGTTGACTAGGCTGTTTTGTTTTGTTTGGGTTTTTTTTTTTAATGGGGCTTGATGATTTTAAGAAAGGATTTGCATCCTTTTTTGAGAAAAGAGTAGAATTTAGATTTGTTCAGCTGCATTATTGTGGTTCACGCTCAGAGTTACCAGTTCTGGTACTTCAGATATTTTTAGAGTAACATGCCTTGCTAAGCACTGCTGGGTTGCTTATTACTGTTCATATCACTTTCCAAACAAGTAGCTGGAGCAACAGTGTATGCAAGCATTACACCTGAAATTACACATTCTCCTTTTTAATTTAATGGGTGTCAGCACTTTTGCATCTCTTGTGTGTGATAACTGCACTGTACCGGGCAGGTTCTGGCACCATAAACAGACTGAATACTTACCTTTCAGAAATGACTGCTCAGAATATCTTATGAATAATTTTTGTCTAATACTACAGGAGGAAGAAAAATAGTAGCTACAGTAACAAAAGGCCTGAACTAATTGAGTAACAAAAATTCGAGCATTTTAATGGATGTGGGAGGACTGGATTATTAATGGTTGCATTAGAGAAAAACACTGCACCGTCTGTTCCTCTTGAAGCTTATGGCAGTGTGTTTATAATAGAGACCACTTATCCTGAGGCCTGTGTAGCTTGGAGAGGGAAAAGAAGGGATGAAAAAAACTCCTTGGCATTCCTTTCAGTGGCAAGCTACTTCACTTATGCCAGCAAAACCTGATGTCCGTAGGTTTGGGGTACTTGTGCCCAGAAGGTTGGGTGGTGGTGGATCCATCAGTTCAGAAGCTCTTAGAGACTGTCACTAGGCATCGTTTATGAGTACTTGGGGTTTTTTCCTCATTTTTGTCCCTTAGACGTGGTATTTGTACTTCCAGAATCCTAGCACGTGAGGCCAGTAGAAGAGCCGATGCCAAAACGAAATGATTGCTTCCCTTGCAGTGAGCAGCTGACAGTAACTGCTTGAGCACGGTGCAGTCCCAGAAATCTGAAATGGTGGTTACTTCTCCTTTGATCTAAGCTGTGACTGCTCCAAAAAAGCCTCTCATCCTTCTAGCATTCTACCCCTCCTCCTTGCCCACCATCCACATTGCCTTGTACTACTGTCTGGTGGTGCTTTGCCACGTAACTAGCTCCACAGCTCTACTTTATGAGAAGATGTTTTAACAGTATTGAACAGAAAATACAAGAATTCTACAGTGCAGTGTTGTTTTTTGATTTGGGTTGAGGGTTTTTTTTATTTTTAATAAAGACTAGTAAATAAGTGAAGCAGCAGGATGTAGTTCACCCATCTATTGTATCCTAGAGATTTGGGAAGGGGTGGAGTTGCTGTTACTTGAATTTGCTGCCTGTAGGTCTCTGGAATGATGCTAGCTATATGTATTGCTAGGTGGTGTGATGTCTTCGAGCTGCTGTAGACTCTGTGTGGTTTACCTTCCCGTTTTCTAGAAACAGTGTTAAAGCCCCAAATCTCAGTTTTGTTTTTGTCACGTTTTTATCGCTCTTGGACAGTTTTCAAATTCATTGAGAAGAGATGGGCGCTCCGTGCTTTGCGGTCTCTGGAATGATGCTAGCTATATGTATTGCTAGGTGGTGTGATGTCTTCGAGCTGCTGTAGACTCTGTGTGGTTTACCTTCCCGTTTTCTAGAAACAGTGTTAAAGCCCCAAATCTCAGTTTTGTTTTTGTCACGTTTTTATCGCTCTTGGACAGTTTTCAAATTCATTGAGAAGAGATGGGTGCTCTGTGCTTTGCTGCTGCTGTCATCATGTTTTTGTCTCCAGTAAGATATCAATGTGATAACTCTTTCTTCTGCCACTTAATATCTGCTTTTCTCCCTTAAAACTGCGATACGGTGATGACTGTTGTCCCCTCGCCTCTGCTCACATGGGTATACCAACCAGTCGTGCAGCAATGTAGAAGACTTCTGCGCTATGTTTTTGCTGCTGTTACTTGCTGACTAAAGGACTAAAAGTTTGTCAAATCTCTCGGCTTTTTTTTTTTCCTGGTCATAGCCTATCATGTAACTTCATTGGTGAAAATGAGTCGATTTCACTAGTTTTACAAACCTTTGTGCTTTTCCCTCTGCTAGCCATCTGGTTTTAGCACTAAAGCGAAGCAAGGGATGGTGGCATAACTTGCAGCAATGATGTAAACCATGTTAGATCAGCTGTATATGCTGACACTGACTTCTGCTGGGCTTAAAAAACAGTATCTTTTGTTGGTAGGGGTGAAGGACATGTTCGTGTTTTATTACAGTATTAACATACTGGTGTATCTCTTGACTTTCAGGTTGCATCACAACGCATAAGCTCAGTGGATCTTTCATGCTGCAGCCTGGAGCACCTGCCTGCCAACCTGTTTTATAGCCAAGACCTCACTCATCTCAACTTAAAGCAGAATTTCCTGAGGCTAAACCCTAGCCCATCCACAAGTAGAGCGCTTAGTGAATTGCAAAGGTAAAGTGATGTGGTTCTACTGGTCTTTCTCTGCCTTTGGAGCCAAATGACCACTGGTCTGCAGGAACTTCCGTAAAAAACTAACTCCTCTTGCGGAGGATTGACCTCCATGTAATGCTTCAGAAATTGGTTAACTCTGTGTGATAGAAACACACCTGCCTTCACAAGAAACTTGATGTTGTTCTTGTAAATAGAAGGCTATTTTCAATCCAAACTGCAGTTCTCGCAATGTGTTGTTCTTATCTACCTACTGAGGCTGGACTGTAGTTCTTCAACCTTTGACCCATGTGAGTGAATAGGAGTTGGTGAGCTGTCCACCAAAGGGATGCATTCTAACAGGAACAGTACTGCGTGTGACTGAATTAGAAGTTGTTACCCCCCGAAGCAAAGAAAGCCCCGATTTAATAAATTCAACTCGATGCCTGTCCTCTTTCCACTCTGCTCCTAATTCTTCTTTCCTAGTAACTGTGACCTTCCAGTTGTTCTTTCCACTGCAGCTCATTTAAGAATGTAGCAAATGGATAGAGAGCAGCACGACCGGTGATCTGAATGATTTAATGTATGTGTCCCAGAACTGTGGCATCAGCAGGCTTTCTGTATTCAGAAAGATGAAAGTTTCCATACTGAATATAAAACTGTGATTTTAATTTCAGTGATAACTGAATTGCAGAGTACCTCAGGATTGTATTTGTGGATGGTCGTCTTCAAATGAATTTTTTTTTAAACCACATTTCTAAATCCCTTCTTCTTTGAAAAACATCTGAAAATTACAAGATGGGTTATGTGCGCTGTTGTATTTTTATATAATTCCAATTTCATTCTGGAAAAACAAAAAATTTGGCATAATGGGAGATGAATGAACCCAGCAGGTCTGCTTCACAAACAAAGCAGGCAGTGATTCCAAGAGCTTATGAACACAGTCTGGAGAGGAATACTGGATTAAATGTTCTGTGAATGTCAGTATAGGTCTCCAGTTAGCAAGTGGAATTTTAGCATAAGTTAGGTGATGGACGTGGACAAATAACAAATGTCTCTATTTTAATTAATTTTTACTGTTTTTCCTTTTTAAATATCAGAAAGTGTGCATTAAATACTTTATATTGTCCATCTACGTATAGCTAATTCTGTCAGATATCAGAAAGCATTTATAAATAATGTGATGAGCCATGTTCTCGTGGTGCTGCAGTTGCAGGAACAGCTGAAGAGTCTTGCTGAAACTTAGCACACTTAAAATTTTTCTCACTAATATGGGCCTGAATGTGCAAGAGTGAAAGAGTTCAGGTGACCCAATAAAAAACCTCTCCTGTTTCCTGAGATGCTGCATCAGGAAGATCTGGAGAAGTGGCGTATGCCTGAAGTGATGCAAAACTGATCAATGGTGGTGCTTTCTGAGAGTTGGTCCTATTCTGGAGTGCATGATAGTCTGCTCTGCCTGTCTTGCTTTGATCTTGCCAAGATGGCCCAGGAAGGTCTGAGAGCTTCTGGACATGAAAAAAAAAAAAAAAGAACAATTACGAGGCTTACCCAGCGCGGTTCCAGTGGATCAGCGCCAGTGCTTCATGAGCTCCTGCCCCCTGGTGATGACCTTCCCTCTGCCACTGCTGATGTCCTCCAGCCTTATCATAGGATCAAAGTGTCTTTTAGGTTGGAAAAGACCTTTAAGATCATCCAGTCCAACCATTAACCCAGCACTGCCAAGTCCACTACTGAGCCATGTCCATAAGCACCTCATCCACGTGTCTCCTAAATACCTCCAGGGATGGTGACTGC